TTGGTTTATTGGAAGGAACTGTTAATGTATAATTGTTTGATCAATCTTACATTCCTATATCTGGTTATATATGCAACCATTTTGAAGATAACATTATGTAATATAACAACCATTGTTAATATCACCATGTTTTGAAATTCTATATCATTTTTATTATTCTCGATGCTGTTTTGTTTATGTATTTCTTTTTGTTATTTTGGGTTTTTTTTTTTTCTTCTCTCTTTAAAATGAAACAATATATTCTTTCTTAGGTGGTTTGTTTTTTTTTTTTTTTTTTTGCTATTACAATACTAAGACTGCTGGATAACTGTAGTTTTAGCTAGTCTTCCTCTGTGGTTCTTGTCCTCCTGTAAATACCAAATGAATTTCATTAAAGCATTAGTAGATCTGTGATATTTAGTTATGTAGGTACGCAGTAAGCGTTTGAATCAATAGACGATAGCTCAGATTGCCAGAATATTTCCACATGCCTCCATTACTCAAGAATTTGGTCGGCTAGATGTGATGGTACATGCCTATAATCCCAGTACTCTGGGAGGCTGAGGCAGGAGAATTACAAGTTTGAGCTCAGCCTGGGTAATTTAGCAAGACCCTGTCTCAAAATTTTAAAAAAGATTTTTTTAAAGGCTGAGGATATAGCTCAGTTTGAAGGGTTCAGTCCCCAGGACAAAAAAACAGAAAACAACTCTGATAGTTATAATTTTAACTTTTCCTGTCAAAGGGATGCATACTCTGAGGGCAGGTCTTTTATAATAGCAAATCCCAATCTAGTAGAGATATAGCTCTGGAGCCTGGATTAGAATCTTGGTTACCTAGATTAGAATCCTGGCTCCATTTACTAGCTATATAACTTTGAACAATACAATTGTCTTAAGCTTTACATGCCTTATCTAAAAAATGAGGGTTATATAGTACCTACCTCACAGGAATTCTCTGAGGATTCAGTGAAATCTAAATGAACACATACATGGAAAATGATAAATATCAGCATGTGAAAAACATATGATGTTAACTATTTATGACTTCTACTTTCCTAATAATATCTAGACAACATTCATCCTAGATGCTCAGAAAATAATAATTTTGTTAGTATAACAGCAAATTGATAGAGCAGTTAATAACTGCCTTAATATTAATATAAAAATATCCATAAACAAGTTGATTCCACTAACTTCCCATCAGTTGAAGAATTTTTTTTCATGTAGCAGATACTGTTTCCTACTATGTACCAGAAAGCTAACTTGCATTTGCAATGTGACCTCTCAAGGTAGGAGATACGTCTGGGACCGTAAAGGACAAACCAGCCAGATACAGAGGATACTATCTAATAATCTGTGATAACTAGTGACAGAATTTCTTAGTCCAAAATTGAAATTTTATTTATGCCACATGAGAAATTTCAAGAACTTGCCTAAGCAGTCTTCTTCCAGAGAGAAAACAAGTATCTTAAATGAAGTCACTGGACCTTTTACCTGAACATTAGTGCTAAGACCTAGAGCAGATAACTTAGCTTTTCTGAAGACTAGTTTCCTTTTCAATAAAATAAAAAATAGTACCTCCCTTCTAAAGATCAAAATACAATATGGAAACTCCAAGTGGTTTTAATTGCTATATCAAGATGTTACCTATGTGACCTTTTCCCCTTAATGCTTGCTCCAAACTCATTTTTAAATATTGTAGCACCCAGATACTGCTTTTCGATTCTGAATAAATAGTGGTTGTTCAAGAACTTGTGGAAGTCCTCTTATCCTCAGTGTTAGTCTCTTTCCTTTGCCAATACCAATTTTATTAGACCAACACAGGACTACTAGAAGACCTAATAAAAACAGGCCCAGGAACCATGTTCTCTAGTGCCAAAAGCTTGTTGTATTAGTCACTTTACTATCTCTGGTACAAAATACCTGACATCTACAATTTAAAAGAAGAGAGATTTATTTGGTTCACAGTTTTAAGAGGATTCAGTCAGTGGTTGGCTGGCTAGCTGGCTACAGGTCAGAAATGACATGGAAGAAGAGCCACAGAGGAAAATCACTCAACCCATGGCAGGAAATAGAAAAAAGGAGCTGGGGACAAAAATACAATACACCCATCTCCAGTGATGGAGTCATGCTCCAGTGACATGCCCCCTCCAACCGGGGCCTGCCTAACAGCACATTCAGCTATGAGTTTATCAATCAGCTAATTCGCTGCTGAGTTTAGTGCCCCTATAATCCAGTCACCCTCCAAAAGTCCCACCTCCAAACATATGAAACTTTTGAGGGACATTTTACATTTAAACCATAATGCCTGTCATAAGTCAGACTTTGACCTACAAACAGCCTAGGCATTCCAAAAGATGTTTTCTCTTGCTATTACTTCCCTTGCTCCACGCATATCTGTGTGTTAACCTTATTTTATCATGACATGACCAGTGCAATGTGACCTGGTCTTTATTTAAAATACTGAGATTTAAGTTCAGCTTTAAATTGCCAGATATTTCAAAACAGATTCTTGGAAGGGTAGACACCAATTTAAAAATAATAAGGAGCATTTGAAAAGAATTGAGACATCTTGATATAAAACATGGAAGGGTTTTTTTTCAAAGGCCAGAAGACCCCAAAAGTAGTTGTAGTGACTAACTAGGAAGCAGCAAGAATAAGTAAATAGCAAATAACTCCAGATGCATAGTGGTAGCCAAAATCTGGGATTATGTGGAAGGATTATAGTTCTGTATATTTTTAATTTAGTGTAACTAAATCTGCACATAGCCTAACATTGCACAGTATATTGTAGATACAGAAATAAAACGAATTCCTTGAACCAGACAAGATTCCTACCTTCATGGGACAACTCACATTTCTAGAGTGGTGGAGGATATGGAAACAGGCAATAAGTAAATAAATGTGCAAATATGTATTACATGCTAATTATTTTGGAGAAGCAGCAAGAGATGGTTAGAAATCCCATCAAAGTTCACTGTTGACCCAAATCAAGTTTATTTCACATGTGTTCCCTCCAGTGTTTACAGTCTTTGTTAATGGCATAGCAATTATCTCAAAACCTTAGACTGATCAGCTCTTTCCCTTCCCTTCCCTCCTGCATCCAGTGGTTTAAAAGAAGGTCTGTTGATTGTGCCTTTGAATGTTCTTTGAATGTTCTCTTCCTTACATTTCCACTGCAATCAAGACCTTATAATGCTCCCTTGGACCAGTATAACCTCTGATCACTCATCTGCAAAACAGACGTTTCAACACTGTACTTCTACACTGTTCCACTCATTACTCTACAGAATTTAGGGTATAAATAGAATCCGGCTGGCCATGCGGCCACTGCCCTCCTCCCCAGTGAGATTCCAGGTTTAATTTTTTTAATCTTTTTAAACTAATTAATAGAAACAAAAATTGTACATATTAATGGGATACCATGTAATGCTTGGATACATGTATACATTGTACAGTGCTAAGTCAGATTAAAAATTTATCTCATACATTTTTTTATTTATAGCAAAAACTTGAAATTCTAACTTTTTGAAATGTATGGTACATTATTGTTATGTATAATCACACTGTTGTATAATAGCTTAATAAAACTTCTGATTATAAATTAGTATAAAGCCAGTTTGTTTTTATTAGCTGTGGCAAAACAAAACCATCAGGTGTAAGATAACCATCCAAGGGCAAGGATGTAACTCAGTGGCAGAGTGCTTGCCCTGCAGGAGCAAGGCTCCTAGGTTCAGCCCTGTTCTGGACTCAGAACCGAACCAAGGTACTGACCTACAAACGCCGAAACACACGGATCGCCAATTGAGATTTTAGAATGAGCCTTTATTAGCTGGCCAGCGACTGACTGAGAGCCTCCACGCAGGGTAGGAGCAGGTCAGCAGCAAACCAGAGGTGAGAGCAGCTTTTAAGCCAAAAAACCACATCCTGCTTGGCAAGCGAAGTCTTTGTGAAGCAGTCTTCCGAGAAACTATAGAAACTTTAGGAAACTTACAAGAAAGGAACGATACATTTCAGGGAGTTTCAGGGAGTGGCTAGAATGCAGAATGATGCAGGTAGAAGGGACAAGAGGGGGAGTAATCAGTAATTTTTCATGTTTGTGAGGCCATGCATGTCCCTTGTGAGGCCTTTACAAACCCCCGGTACCGAGGGGTGGGGAGATAGCCGTCAGATTTCTTCCTATCTACCTACCCTATTTTAATCCTCTGTAAAACCCCTTCTGCTGTTTCTTTTATTGTTTGGTTTTGATCATACACAGCTTTTCCCTTCCCACCCTTCATTAGAAAATAAGCAGGGTTGCTTATTTTGGTTTGTGCATGAAATGAAAGCATGCACATGGTAGCTATAAACCCTTCCTGATGCATGAATTAATGATTCAGGCTTTTCATCTGTCTTCTCTCACTTTAAATTAGTGGGATGTTACTGTTAAACTGCATGAATTAAGAAGCTCATAAGTTAGTTCATAAGGGAAGTGTCACCCTGATTTCCTAGTAGTGAGAAAAGCGAACAAAGTATGGGAAAGAATCACAACCACAAGCAAAAAAATAGAATTGTCTAAGTAAAAAAATAAAACAGCTTAAACCTTTTCTCTACGCTTCCTACAGCCCTTTTTATGTGTCAGGGCACAGGTATAAAACTCAGTGTTAGATATCCAGTGCAAAAGGCCAGTTTTCTTTAAGGATGCTTAAGAATCAGGTTCTTTCCTATCTATGGGCGTGTATAAAAGATCTGGAAGGCCAGGTAGATAAGAGCCATATATTCTAGTATCAGGATATCTGTGTTTGAATGCTGAGTTTATGGAGTAACTTACGATGATAATACTTAGGATATATATTTCGGCAAATTATTTAACTTCTGAATATAATAATGAAATATCGTCCTTAAACAGTTGTCGTGTGGAACAGTGCCATATTTATTTTAGTTGCTATGTAAGTGTTCAAGATTAGTGATATAAGTACTTTTCAGACTTACCTATAATTTGTTTCCAAGAACTTTCTTACAGTAAGATCACTATAGTTCAGCCAAAGCAGCATATAACTGGTTTCCTGGTGTATTGAAAGCAAAATAGTTTATAAAGTTTCTTAAGTTTAGTATAGTTTGTGTGGGAAATATACTCATATTAAATTTGTGTACCATTGTGTAATTACCTTCCATTTAATTTTTAGGAGAATCCTCATTGACACTGGAGAACCATCAATTCCAGAATATATCAGCCGCTTAAAGCAGGCTCTGGTTGAATTTAACACAACAATCCAGGAAATCCTAGTGACTCACTGGCATATTGATCATTCTGGAGGCATAGGAGATATTTGTAAAAGCATCAATAATGGTAAACAAAATATTCATTAAGTTCATTGAGAAAAATGATGTCTGGGGAATAATTTATTATTTAAGTAAGCTATAAATACCTTTTATTTAAATGGTACTTTCAGAAATTGATAAAATTTAAATATTGTTCCTAACTGTAACAAAGCATAAGTTAAAAGTTTCACTTTTCTGTTTCATAAGCTCTTCTCCCTGTTCTTACTTTTCCCTATGTCTTAGTTACTTTCTCACTGCTGAGACAAAACACCCAACACTCACAAATTAAAGGAAGAAAGGTTTATTTTAGCTTACAGGTTGGGGAGGTTTCAGTCCATAGCCAGCTGCTCCAAGCTAGCGTAGCATCGCAGAGGAGAAGCTGTCCACAGCATAGGAGGCAGGAAGCAGCAGCGTGCCTTCTTTCATTTTTTGTTACATCCAGGCTACAAGTCTATTGTATGGTGCCACCCTAACCTGGGATGTGTCTTCCCTCTTCAGTAAATCCATAATCCACACCTAGAACTATGCTAAAGTAATCAGTGGATCAACCCGGTGTCATATACCCATGATCCCACATCACAACCCCTTGATCGAGTCATCTCCCAAAAGCCCCACCTATGAGCACATGAGGCTTTGGGGAGACATGTAGATACATGACATAACACCCTATGGTAAAGGTCAGTTTTAATTAACAACTGTGGAGCATTAGCTATGTTCCAGACACAGTGCTGATCATTTTATCTAGATACTATGAAGTAAATGCCATTATTGTCCACATGTAAACAGGTGATCTCAAGTCTTCCCTAACTTTAAGGCAGTTACTAAAGTATATTGCAGTGAAGGCAAGATATCATTATACTGATAATTCTCTCTCGACACCTGTTTCACAGTGACACTTTACCAACTGTCATTCTCGCATTCTTTCATACCACATTATACACTTCATTCCATTCATCATTCATTCAACAAATATTCAAGTGACTGCTATGTCACTCACTATTCTTGGCACAAGGGATAGAGCAGTGAACAAAACAGTCTCTATTCTCATGAAGCTTTCATTCAACAAATTGAATATCCCTAATTTGATAATCCACAGTCCCTTAAAATGCAAAACATTTTTGCACACTGCTTTTTGAAATATAAACACACCAAAAATGTGTACAAAATTACCTGTAGACTTTGTGTAGAAGGTACATGTGAAACACAAATGAAGTTTGCACTAGATTTGGGTCCCTGCCAGGCATGGTGGTGCACACCTGTAATCCCAGCACTCCGTAGGCTGAGGCAAGAGGATCACTGTGAGTTCGAGGACAGCCTGGGCTACAAAGTGAGTTCAAGACCAGCCTGAACTGCATAGTGAAACACTGTCTCAAAAAAAAAAAAAAAAATTTGGGTCCATCTCCAAAATATTTCATTATATATTTGTGAATATTCTAAAAATCCAAAAAACTTACTCCAAACATTTCAGATAAGGGATACTCTACCTGTAACTGAGGGAAGGTAAGTGGTGATAAATAATCAGATAATGGTAGGTGCTGTGGAGGAAAATCAAGCTACACAAAGACAAAGAGTAAAGTTAAAGAAGGCAGTGGGTATTTTATTTAGGGGTGAATGGAGAGAACCTGAGAGCACCTGAGAAAAAGGCGTGTCCACCCTAGGGCATTGCAGGAGCAAAGATGTTAGAATAACAGTGTGCTTGATTTAAGTAGAGCAGCGGGGTCAGGGACATTAATTCACACAAGCATGAGCATCTCTCTATTCAACTAATATTTTTAAATATTTATAAGCTATTTTTTAGACTACAAATAGGACACCAGGGTAGTCTTAGCTAAGCCACCGCACCCTGTATCACGAGGCTGCCAGTTATTAAAAACCAAAGTCTTTCTAACCTGTCACTCTTCTCCCAGCCTGAGGGGACGGTGTGCCAAAGGAACTCCTAATTTCTCAGTTGGAGATTTCCTTAATTTTTGCTTCTGTAGCCAATCTGCCCATTATATTTTGTGAACTGAAGAATTATCCTGAGTTCTTAATTAGCTTCTTAATTGTCACTTTGGTCAACTAGCATGAAGGCAAATTTGAAAAATTAAAATGTTTATGGCCCACCTTTTTTCTTTCATTAACTATACTGAGCTTTAATTTATCTACATAATATGTGCCCATTTTAAGCGTATTTTTGGTGAGCTTTAACAAATGTAAATACCTGTATGACTACTCCAGTCAAGATACAGACTATTTCCACCACCCAAAAAGAGTTTCCTCAAGTCTTTGCAGAGATTCTGTTCCCCATTTCCAGGAACCATTAATCTACTTTCTTCCGCTATGTATTTGTTTTGCCATTTCTAGAATTTCACATAATGGAATAATACAGAATCCCAGTCTGGTTTCTTTCACATAACATTCTTTTTTTGAGATGCACCCATATTTTGTGTATCAATGACTTTGTTCCTTTTTATTGCCAAGAAGTAATGTTATGTCAATACACTATGATTGTTTATCCATTCACCCATTAATGCATACTTGACACATTTCCTTTAAACTAAAAATTAAAATAGTTCTAGGCCACCAAATAGTAACTATTTATATAATAGATTACCTATTCAGTTGATTGAAAGACTATTGAGGCAAGATTTTACTTCTTTTTTTTCCTTTTTTTTTTTTTTCTTTTTTTTCTCCCTTTCTTTTTTCTTTCTTATAGTGCAAGCTGTCCTTGAACTCATTATGTAGCCCAGGCTGGCCTTAAACTCACCATTGTCCTCCTGCCTCAGCCTCCCAAGTGCTAGAATTACACCTAGCACTGGCATGCACCAAACGGTACATTTTATAGCCACTAAAATTTTAATATTTCATGAGAAATGGCTTGTCTTTCTTTCTAGACTTTATTGAAGCTAGACAAGCTACACTGAAACCTCAAGTTGCTTGGCATTGAAATTGTACAGAAATGCCTTCCAGAATCTCCCCCCAAAAGATAATGTTATTTCCTCATTTTCTAAATCCTTAATCACTAGCATCCTTGTTCCATTTTGTTTTACTAGTATTTTGCTCCATACTCTTAAACTTCTGTTTAATTCTTGATAGGGCAGAAATGGTTCAGACGCTTTACCATGTTGACGTGTGTACTTACAGATCATACCAAAAATATAAATGCCATTGATAAGATTTCTGTGAGAAAATACAGTAACTTCAAAGCAACCTGCTTACAAAATGTTCAAAACACAATTGGAACATAATTTGGGAATTCATAATGGCATACTAGACATGAAAGCAGTCCAAGGCTGCTTAGGTGTTTTGGTTTGATTTGGTTTTGAGTAAATCTAGGAAAATGTATTTATTACCTGATAGTTTTGTTATTCTGCAACTACAGGTGGGTGTCTCTCACATATTATACATTTAGATGATAATGTAATACATCATATTTTAGTTCTAGAATTCAAATATTTGCATGTATGCTATTCAATTAGAATGTGTTTTAATTAGAAATTACTGTACATGCATAAACAATACCACATTCATATCAGCTGAAATTAGTATTTCCAATGATGTTGTGAAGCATTATTCAAACATTAAAAAATGACTGAAGATTTATTCCTATTAAAATAATTATGAGGGACTGGAGATATAGCTCAGTAGTACGGAGTATAGGTCTTTGTTTCCTTTTGTAAGTTTCATTTCCCCAGCCATAACAGACTTGAGTGCTTTGATACCATGATACAAATATTCACTATACGCAGTATACTGGTTTGATAATTGGACTCATCTGTTATTTGATTTTGTTTGAGTCAATGAGTAGTATTTTAAACTTATGTTAAAGGTTAAATATCTTAACCTCAGGTTGGGATTCGCTTTCAGCACTCACAACAAAAACAGTGTGCTAGCATCCTCTAATCAGCTACTGCCATGATTTCTTTATTATATGTAGGCAGCTGGATAAAGAAAAGTTCTCAGGTTCCATACAGCTGCCTCTTCAGTACCTATCCTATTGTCAGAGCCAGGTGAGATTATAAAGAACTACTTCCAGACTTTTGTTTAAAATGGAAAAGACTAGAAATTCACAAAGGGGCATAGGAAAATAAAAACTCTTCTGTTGAGATATATGAAATACTATATTTATATACCAGAGATAAGCTGTTACAATTCATCCCATTTTTTTCGTTGTCCTTTAGTATTTTGTGCAGTCATTCACAGGTGTTAGCTACATAAAAAGTGATCTCTGAAAAGGCTGAGTCATCTAAATCTGACTTAATATATTTACCTGTTTTCTAACTAGACACTCCCTATTGCATTAAAAAACTCCCACGGAAACCCCCTAAAGAAGAAATTATAGAAAATGGAGCACAAAAATATGTTTATCTGGAAGATGGAGATGTGATTAGGACCGAGGGAGCCACTCTCAAGTAAGTAGATGTCCTTTGATGGGGAACAGAAAGGGTCTAATGTGTATAGATATAGATATAGATATCTACATATATAAATGTATATACAAATATACGTATATATGTACATATGTTGAGGAGGAGAAGGCAGATTTAGGTATATTTGCTTGATGTGGAAAGAATGCCTCAGAAAGGACCAAAAAAAACTGATATGATTGAATACTCTGGGGAGGGAAAATAGATTGCTTGGGAAACCATAAAAGGAAGACTTGTTACTTTACATGCCCTTTTTAATTGTTTATTTGACTCCTACCATTTTTTTGAATAAGATTTTTTTAAATTAGCATTTTTTACATAAGATTTTAAAGTTAGCAAAATTAGGGTGGTTTAGCGATCTACTCATACTTCAATTCAGGGCTTTCCCGTGTTCTCACTTTCAAAAGATGAGCTGTTTCTATAGTGAATAGATGTTAGGTCAGACCCATAATCTCTCGTGCTCTGTTCAAGGATTCAGAAAAGTATTTCAGACTCGATAACTTTAAAGCTGAACTAATTATGATTCTCCTCTATCCCCTACAATCTATATAAGCTTTCTGATCTCAGAATTACCTGCCTTGCTCTGTACTTAGGACTTTACTCATTCTTCTAAAATGGATGTTTCAGGATTACCTTTCATCATTAAATTACTCTTTATCATTCCCCCTCTTCTGTTCACCCCACATTTATTCAGGTTAATTTTTATCTCAGAAACATTTGTCAGTGCTGTCCCTTCTTCCTATCCACTACAAATACTTCCTTGCTTAATTTTCCTGTCTCGTCTTTCCCCTTTCTAGGCTACTTTATAGGCTTGTGCAGTCACTTGAAAGCTTTGATGACTTTCTGGCCAACAAGATAATGTTTGTTCTTCTCAGTGTGCCATTCTGACCCCAAATCACATTTCTAGTCTTAATACCCACTGTACCTCTCCTCAACACAGTTAGCTATATGTAACTGTGTCCAGTCATGTTACTCATACTTATTCATGCCTTTGTTTACATCTTCCTTTTTTTGAACATCATTTCTTCTCCCGTACTTGTCTCCTAGTGAATTCTTAATTTTCTTATTCTTCAGAGTCCAGGTCACGTGTTGCTTATGTTGAGAATTCTTTCTGGGCAGAAGTAATTGCTCCCTCCCCCCACTTTTATATAACATTTATTATTTCAACTGTTGTACTTATTAAATTATAAACTACTTGGTATCTACCTAAAAGGTAATCACCTCCTGTTAGTTAATGCCTGTTGGCGTAGCAAACCAGGGAAATGTATGATGACTCAAACATGAAATAAGTTTATTTTCATCACATAAAGTCTGAAATGAGTTCTTAATTAGCAAGTGGCCCTCAAGGTGTTCAGCAGGATAATAATTAAGACTCCTTCTACCTTGTGATTCCACCTGCCTGAGCACTTAGCTTTCAAGGTTACCATACTTTAATCAAACCAGAGTAAAGCATGGCAGGAGTATTGTGTGGTAGGTTTTCATAGAGCAAGCCTTCTGCTGCATAGGCTGTGGATTCAGGCACATTGCCACCCCTAACTGTGCAGAAGTTGGGAAATAAAATTTAAGTGCATGACTAGAAAAAAGAGAAGTAGGCTTAGTAATTAGCTCACCATTCTCTGACATGGGCAGCTACCGTGTTCCTCTTCATAGCTTCAGTCTCTGGGCACAGAGAAGGCACTGATACTTAAAGTGTAGTAAATTTTTGTAAAGAGACAAGTGGATGAACAATTAATTGACTGAAAGAGCAAATGAAATCATGAGTATCCATGTTAAAGGTTTGGGGATCATAGTATTTATTTATCATACTTTACCACAGAATCACGGCTATTAGATCTATAGCTAATTTTGCAGGCTAAGAATATTCAGGCTTTAACTTCATTCAGAATGAATGTGCTTCATTTTGACTGGAACATGTTAACTACCACCAATATGAGCAGGATCACAATTTTTTAGAACTTTTTATTAAAGTGTAATATGTAAACATAAAAGTGTACTGTTACAGTCAGGGTTTGCAAGGGAATAGATTTAATACAGGACACATAATTTATAGGATTATTTTTATAATAGTCATCCAAAAAGTCAAAGCAGAACAGTGCAAAAAAGAGACCTAAAGAATACACTAGAGATTTAAAGAATACACTGAGGGCCTGGATCCCACAGCAGTGTCCTCCACAATTCCAGCTTAAGACCTAGAGTCATGGCAATGTCTTTCACAAGTCCAGCTCAAGGCCTAGAGTCCAAGAGAGTTTCTCATGCAAGTCTGTATCAAGGATCTGTGCTGGGAAGGCCCAGTGGTCAGTGGTGGAAGCTAGAAAGTCTGTGCCAGTGGGGTGAAAGATCTGTGCCAGCAGGCTGAGGGATCTACACTGGAGCCAGGAAGTGACGCTCAAAGTAAGGACCAGAGCTCCCCAAAAGAGAACCAGCCATCTTCAGTGACAGCAGGGAGCCAAGCTCCTCCAATGATGAGAACACCTGAGTTCACATCAGGAAAACAAGTGTGACAGGCTTCTCCAGGAGAATCATCAGCACGCCATCTTCCCCTCCCGTTCTCCTTTTGTGCTGTTGGCAACGATCCTCAGGTGGGGCCTCCACACCCAGCACCACACTGAGGCGGTTGGGTTGGGTGTTGCAAGTTGACCCTTAGTTAATCCACCACATGTACCTACCATAAACATACAACACAATGAATTTTTACAAACCAAACACACTGTATGAGCAGCACTCAGATGAAGACAAAGAAGAGTGTCGGCACCCCAAAGCCCTCCTGCACGCTAACTTCCTGTCACTGCCTCTCCTTTAAACACCATTGTAAATTCACAGAGTAAATTGGTGCCAAGGATCTCAATATTGTATGAATTCTATTTAATATTTGTTGTGCTTCATTCTGATTAGGACAAGTTAAAAATGGAAATCTGTTTTTAAGATTAGAGGGAAACTAATTCAAAGAATAAAAACTAAACAGCAGCCACAATTCTAAAAGATTGTTGGTGAATAATCTTTTCTTAAAATATAATTTCTATTTATAATAAAACATTTCATTTCCTGAAGACCTTCATTTCAAATTTCTATTTCTATTTAGTCAGTTAACTCAGTTGTTTCAGTATTTACCTACAGACTTGTTGATAAGCAAAAATTGCATAAAGAGAAAGTTAAAATCTGCTTAAGTCTTCAGGTATTTGTTGTCAAGTATTCATTGTCCAGTTGATACTGCCTACTTGCAAACTTTGAAGGAAAAAAAAGGCAAAAGAGAGGCAGAGGTAATAACACACCAAAAAGTACTTATACTAAAATATAGAAAGCTGAAAAGACTTTCTGGTAAGAATTTAATTCTGGATATCACCTTCATTAATTTTCTACAATTGTACAGTTTCTTGAAGCGAATAGTCTCAGCTTTTGCTAACTGTTCTGAATCTCCAAGAGAATTGTACTTATAAATACAGTACTACCCTGTACAGAGGGCACATTGATGAATGGGAAGGCCACTGCCTTATTTTCTCTGCTCTTTACCAGAGCACCTCTGACGTCATTTCCTTTTTTCCTCCTGCTCATGCGAAGTAAATTTTAACAGTGTTACACAGATTAAAGTATTAGCCTCCCAGGTGACAAGAGCATTGAAATTTATGATCCCCCTAATGTAAGCTATCTTACTACCTGATTTACGAAATATCAAAGATCAATCATTACCAAGTTCTGGTGTGGCAGCAGGTAAGGAAGAATAAAGTCTACTAGTATTGCACGCATGTTACAAGCACGACAGATAAGGCAATTTGTGGACTGAAAATGAATGGCTCTCCAAATGAGTTTTTATAGATTAAAAAAAAAATGAGGCTAGAGATACAGCTCTGTTACAGTGTTTGACAGGAACTCAGGCACACTTGCATACACATACACATATGCACACACACAAATCAGTCGTTAATGCATTTTGTTCATTCTAAGAAATGATACTTATCCACAAACATGCACAGTTTTGTATTGGCTAGAAAAATACCTCCTGAGATTACTTTTATATAACACTAACTGTTTCATTAACAGGTGGCTGCAGGTTTAATCAGACAAAAGAAATTATTTCAAATAGCTCTTTAACACTTCACCAGTGGAGAAATTATATACAGTAGTTGTTTTTAATGTATAAAGCATACACTTGGAAATCATAAAAGCATAATAGTTCTTAATGTCATGCATTGGCCTTTCAAAAATAATTGCTCCCATTACAGTAGTATTTCATGTTCTTATACCTTATATAATTTCATTTTAAGCAGAGTTTTTAACAACTTTATAGTTCCAGTATTTAATAATAAAAATTGGTTAATTTTTATTTTTGGCAAAGGAAAAAACTCCTCTAAGTTATAGTCATTTCAAGTCTCTTAAATTCTACTAAAAGTTTTTGTCAAATGTCTTTTTGAAGTCCAGGAAGATGAAATTACTAGGTGTCTCCATAATTTTATTATTATTTTCAGAGATTTTATAATATTGGAACAGTTGTGCTTTTTAAATTTTATTTGCTCATGATGTTACTATTTTTCAATGTATTTTTATTCCATTTGTTAATATTCTAGTTAATTTTTCTGACAAAATTAGTTAAAGTGTATAAGGCTCTCCAGAAAGACAAAATCTAAAAAAAGAGAGTGATGAAAAAAGAAGTAGGGGTGGAAGGAGGGAAGGAAGAAAAAGAAGGAAAGAAAAAGAAAGAAGAAAGAAGGACACAACAAAGGAAGGAAGGAAGATGGATGAGAGGGAGTTTATTTAATAATTACATTATTACCATTGTAGACACTTTTATTGCTGAGACAAAACACCCAACAACATTAAAGGAGGAAAGGTTTATTATAACTCACAGTTTTTAGAGGTTTAAATTCATAACTGGCTGGCTCCAAGGCAGGGTGGCATGGCAGAGGGGCATTGTAGAGGAGAAACAGTTCATGGGGGGCAGTGGACAACAAAGTAGCAAAGAAGCAGCAAAAGCAACAGACCTACCTTCCGGGCTACCCACCTTTGGGTGGTACCACCCACACTCAGGGCGAGGCACCCTTAATCCCATCATCACACTCCTACTCCCAGCATCACATTCTTAATCTCAGCATCAGGGACCCTAATCCAGCCACCGCCTATGACCACATGAGGCTTTGGTGGGAAACCTAGATACAAACAATAACACTATACACTGCTGAAGTATGTAGTAAACTATGCTTGCTTGCTTTTCCTTTCCTGCCTTCTCTGCTTTCATGCACCTAATAATTACTCTGTTTTATTTGAATAGTTTTCTGTACACTTAACGCTGATCATATAAACCTCTCAGTATGTTTAAAGTTTCGGAGATTCTCTCAATTTCATATTCCAGAAGAGCCCTCCATCTGTACCTTCTAACTTCTTTTTTTTTTT